GTAGGGATAAACGCTACAGAAAATCTGTAGAGTTTACAGTATAATGTAGTCAAGTGTTTGTGATAGGACTATTTACTTTTATAAAATGAGAACCTCAAATCAAGTAAGAGAGTAAAAATGATAAATAACACTATATATGTGCCACGACACTAAAAATGCATTTATTATTACAAAACAAAAGGATAGTTATTTCTTGTGGCCGAAACAAGTAGTTTTTAAATACAATAAAATAATCAGCGTTTTCTGTTTCGCAGAATCTGCTCTCACCTCCTTGATGTTGAGTGGCCTTCCACTCAGGTCATGCTTATTCATAGTTTCTATCGCCTTCTTCACAAACTCCTCATCTTTGAACTCCACCACACTATTGAATCAGGGAAACGGAGGACTCAGTTAACTCCATGCAAGTGTAACAATGAAAAACACCATCTTTTAAAAAGCAAGTTGCTGTCTTACCCACAACCCTAACCAGGTGGCAGCGTAGGAGTTCAGGGAGCACACGTATCCAAAGTTGAAGGAGTGAACAAAATACAGTTAAAATCCAAACAAAGCAGTGGAACATTATAAATCTGAAGTATCAACATGCTTCTAATATTTTTCTAAAGCGCACGTCAGACATATTTTGCCCACGAGCTTGAGCCAGCAGGGGTTTGGTTGTGTTAAAGTATATTACAAAAATTAAAAGGTTAATAAGATCACTTTCCAATGTTGACAGTTAATACTTTTTGGATAATAAAACAATAACGGTTTAAATTATTACGTTTTGGTAAAAACATTTAGCACTAATGCAGTGTAATTTACCTTAACACTTTCGATATTTTTGAACTGGACACAAACACAAAAAAAAATACTTTAACATGTTTATTTATTGCATTGTTTAGGATTGAAGTTTTACCACTAGCGCTATCCACCTTTACATCTATAGTATGCAATTTAATAGAAAAACATAACAATAGAAAAAACACTACAGGATCTTTCAAGAATGTTTTGTTCCTTTGAAGAGAGATCAGTGCCATATAACATAATTGTAAAATAAGATTTTGAGACATGAGGGTCAATAAATAAGACAAATCACACAACCCACATTTCCCTTTGGAAAATGGCCAAACGAACAAACTTTTACACCAATTGAAATAACAACAACAAAAAGCAAAAGGTGCACTCTTAAAATAGTTCATTATGCTACTTTACCAAAATCAACAGGACATCTCCCTCTTTAATGAATATCAATCATTAGCCATCTATCAGGCTCTAAACACAACCCACAGTATCTCCAGTTCAGTAACTTAGTAAGACCCAAAGGATCAAAACCTAAAAGAACACTTGATTAATGAGAGCCTGCTGAGGGCATTTAAAACCTCGTGCAGCAAATTGGCCACATCACTTACCCTTGACTTTCCTTCTGCATCCTTAAAGAGCTCCACGTATGTAACCTCACCAACTACATGAGACATACAAAGGAAAAATACCAAAAGAACAAAGGAATTTAAGTCACCAAGTCTTCAAGTCGCCGTTGGCCTTGGCAATGCCGCCAAAGATGGAAATGTCCAATTAATGATCAACAGTCAGCCCAGACCAACATCCCACCAGACAACACCATGCCTTTCTGGGCAGTGACTGAGACACCATAAGGCCAAGGCCAGAGAGAAACACAGCCTCATTAAACCTGGGAAATTCAAAGAGCTTCAACATGATCAGTTTTATCAACAGATTCCATTCATGGCATTAAGAGTTTTAAACTATCCTTTGACCTTTCAAAAGGCTTATTGAGGCCCCATAATTCAAAAATGTAAAACATTACAATATTTTCATTTATAATCAAGATTCACCTTGCAACAGATGCAACAAAATCATTCAACACTCAATTCTACTACTAGTGGTTTGAGGTTACATTTTGGAGCTGACAATGCCATAGAACAAGTGACAATGTAACTAATTTCATCTTCCATTTCTCAAAGACATATCAATCCAAACTAAATTGGTGTCCATCCAAATACATTTATTAAAACTCCAATACCTTGTGTCAAACTATGTTGGTTCCCTTATATATGCGATAAATACATCCAAAAAAAGCTACACACTAACTGACTACTGCTAGAAGCAGGATGCAACATCTGGTTATGGAGGGAAAGAGGTCAAAAGCTTCTGAAAACCTGAAAAGTGGAAAGAAGATGAGACATCATCCCCATAACTGGAAACATTACCTTTCTCACGCATTAGATCTTTAATTGCCTGCCACTTCATATCATAAGGGATATTGCTGATGAACACCCGATTCCTATGAGCCCCCTTCTTTTCTCCAACATGTTTGTCTTTGTAGGGATGGAAGCGGTTTCCTCTTCTGCTCCCAGAGGACTTCTCTTTACCATCATGCTTTTCTTTGGGAGACTTAGTTTCTTCAGCATTCCTAAAAAATGCATAATGTTAAAAGTCAGAGAACAGTCTTTCTCAATACCACATTCAGAGATCACACAGTGTAGTCTATACTTTGAAAGACCTGTCATACAAACATACTTAACATTTCAATGTGACACTACTTACCTTGAGGACACATGTTCATAAAAAGGTAATTAGGTAGCATAAAATAATCTAAATACAATTTGTATACAGAACCATGAATGGAAAAGTGCTCAGACACCTTCACTTTGAATAAAAAGGGGAGATTATTTCGCTTAGAATTTGCCTTAAAAAAAAAAAAAAGTGTAGTCACTGAGCTGAATAATGTTACATGAATTTCAACACTAATTTGTATGATATAAATGATTATACTGATGGGGAAAAAACATGTATTGTTACAAAAGTAAACATAGTACTTATGGTGAAATGGTGCACTTTATATTGCCTCCTATTTCTTAAAATTAACACATTGTATCTAATGGAAAAATAACCATCAGATAAGGTGTGAATAGAAAAACAACACAACGTTTAGCTTGCTAGCGTTGTTCGTTTGCACCAGACTGTACATTGATTTGCACTAGCTTAGGGTTTAGCTAACTTAACCCCAGTTAGTTTTACATAATGAAACGTGTTTAAATAGACATGAACAGAAATGCTTTTTGCGCTGTTAATGTCATTTGGGGGGGGAAAGCTATAGGGTATTTGATATCCATCTGGTTGGAGGTGTAAACTAAATTGACAAGAGTCACCTGACCTCCATATATTCCTGCAGAATCAGATTAGCATCCAGCAACGTTAAAGGTTGGCCCATTGCACCATGGTTAACGTTATAGCAACAGCATGCCATTTTAATTCATGAGTTAGAAATGATATATAGCGTCATATGAGGCACATATATCACACAGATACAAATAGATAAAAATTGACAACATATGTTCAAAGAGGCTCGTTGGCTAACAACAGCAAGTTAGCAAACAGGACTCCATTTTAGCTAATCCAGCTAACGGTTGCACTAGCAGGGCGGACAGAACAATACATCATGTTCACTCACGTTTTCACACCATTGGGTGTTTCTTCAGATGCCTCTTCAGATTCGGATTTGACGGATACAGAAGAATCCTCTTGCTTTGGCTCCTCGTCAATAATTACAACATCTTCCATGTTGAGGTTTCCCCCAGACAACGCAAGATGCCCCGCTGTCGCTACGCAGTTTAAAATGTGGAGTGAGATTCGTGCCTGCAACGCGAGAATTGGGAGCTGTTGCCCAGCAGCCTAGGTGAATGCATGGATGTATAAAGGCTGAATGGGGGAAAAAACACTGGAGTCCGTGTAATTTGGCAAGAATAAAAAGGGAATATTTGATTGAAAAGATTTTGCACGTGATTGCAAAGCAGCATATGAGGGATACAATGTACCACAGCTGAACATCCTCTTATTATGAGATATTAAGGAAACATTTTAAAATATCTTGTGTTCTCAAATATATATTTGTTTACTAAACACTACGCAGCCATCAGAAAGCCCTAGACATATGCAACCATCAAAGCAGCCAGATCCATGCACATTTAAAGAGTAGACATTTTAAGTTTCAACTGAAAGTAAGTAAGTTCCTGATTACAAATGTTGTTATGCTTATGATATAGTGAAACATTATCCAAGAGGAATAACACAATTTTCTTTATACAATATGCTTCAACATTAAAAGAGAATCTGCTCACCAATGTGTGCAGATTCCAATACCAAAACCAACTATTTCAATGAAACACCTGATCTTTTAATAAATCTGATGTAGGCTACTGTTGTATAGAAAACCTTTTATTTTTTAGAGAACTTGCAAGACCCTATTTCTTTATTTGTTTCAATAGGTACCTATAGCTCTTAATGTAGCAGGAAAGTCTCAAGATCTATCTGAGAAAAAAATAACAATCAAGTAAATGTATTATCAGTTTATTGACCTCTTAAATATATCGAGTAATACATGTACGGAACTGTATGTTAAAGATTAACTTCCCTGCTTTGTTACGGGTCAGCATGATCCATGGTTGTAATTGACAGTTTGCAACATGTCCTTCTTTGCACCTACATTGACTTTTGGCAGTAATGGAATATAATATTCACTATGATTTCACATGAACATAAACATTCTTGTGTTTTCTATAGCTATGAAGGGGCCCTTCATATTAATACAGGAAGAGAGAAGTGTTTACCAGAGTCCACAATGTTGCGCTTTTGAAAGTAACCCAGAACAGTGAAACTAAATAATTGCTCTTGAGAGGGCACTTTCACATTATTATATTACCTGCTGAGGTCCTTTGTGATTCTTCAACAGGCTTCCAAAGGTTGGAGAAGTGGAGTGGTATATAGCTAGTTGCTATCTGCAACCTCACCACTAGATGCTACTAATACACATTGGTGCTTTCTGAGATTTTGCTCAGAACATTGTTATCGTCATATTTAATGGCTTTACTGTCGACTCCTGCCATATTTCTAATCACTTTGGAAATCTGTCTTTAATAACAATATTGCAAATATTTATATTTACTCTAAAAAAGAAAGACCTCCACGTGCATTTAGTTAAGTTGTCGGCTACAGGATGATACAAATTGCAGCATTAAGGCTAATGGGGAGGCCCAATAAAGTATTATAAATAGGAAAATATTTCAAAGCTAACTTAGTACTCTCTTGTACAGATTGTATATCACTCAGGGGTGGGGAATAGAGTTCAATTACATTTGAGAGGATACCGCTAGAGCAGTTCAATCCTCGTTTTACAGTTCTCAATATCAGTTTGCTCCTGACCTGTTGTCTGGCTTAGATAAAAGAGTAACAAACTTTATCCGTTTGTCCTATGGACACTCAAGTGTCACGCTTTATGCAACAGGTTTAAATGGCCTACATTCATCTTCCAGTGCCAAGAGAGTCCAAAGCACATCTGCTCTTGGCACACATATAAAAGAGTGCTTACAGTCATTTTAAAGACAATTAAGAAGGAAATACTATTGTAAGTCGTTGAACTTCTGTATAATTTCAAATGAATGGACATATTCAATCATCTCTGACAGCAAATTCACTGTTTTGGATTTCTAATAATAACATACTCATTACTGATAGCCAAACACTATTGGGCTGTGACCATGTCTTTACAATTGATGAGGGCAGTGACGTATAATGTCTTACAATGTCATGGTCTTTGCAGTGTGACATCTCTTCATCTATTTAGCAAAAACTGTTCTTGAAGTAAATGGGAGATATAAATGAAGTAGCCGGCTTCGTCGACAAGTCACAGTACAGCCAAACTAACTTTTTATACCCAAATACATTCAAATATACAGCACAGCAGGGCTACAAGAAACAAGGAAAATACAACTTTGAAGCGAATATAAATGTGAATAAGACCTTTCTCCTCTCTTTCAAACTCCCAGGGAATGTTTCTGCTATTGACGTAAACTAAACAATAAGTGAAATAAGCTTATTTTCATCCATTAGAAATTGCTTCACATCACACACCAGTGATGACCCTCTCCCTCATGGCATGCCTTATCCTTGAATAAGAGTCACTGCACCACTGTGATTAAACCGGCATGGCTGATATGAATTTTCACTACATCGAAACAGATGGCCAGACCCTTCACTGCTGCATTGTGTTACAGTGGGCAATCAGATGACCTGCTGTCTGTTTTAAAATACTGCCTTTTGTTTACTAAAGTAAGTCTCTCATCCTGTCCAGGGAGCTTGCCTTCGTAAGCCTTTAAGCAGAGGGGGTAATTCAATTTGACCACAGCACGCTGCATCAATTAAAAACACAACATCAAACCGGGCTTAAAGAATAATGTTGCACCTAAAATACCTTTGCAGCAGCATTTACTGACCAGGATCAGTGAGAGGCAGCATTGTGTTGGCAAAGCCCTGATATTCCTGTCACATTTTGGTGGAGTCATTTTTAGAAATGCCAAATAAGCCAGGGGAGGGGAGAATGAAGAGAGAAAAAAAAGAGGCGGATTACTTGTTTATGCTGCTGCATCCGTCCTGGTGTTGCTGAGGAGGGGTATGTTGTGAATGACAGAAGTGAGACTAACAAGTGGTTGCCATGCAGCAGGAGCAAGCGTGCGTGCTTCAGTAGGGAGATATAGAGAAACAGAATGATGAGTAGGAGGCAGCAAGAAAAGGAGCATGAAGAGAGGAGCTCTATCTCTGAGAAGAGACACATATCATAGTTTGATCCAGCCTCTCCCCTTGCGTCTCCGTTTCTTTCTAGCTTTTTGTTTGGATGAGAGGTTACCCTAAAACATCCAGTATGTCAGCGATGGATGGTTTAATGGATATGCATCTCAGGGCTGCACGAAAGAGGAGTTGTTTGCAAGAAACAGCAGCAACAGGTCTGTGAGGATGGAACGATAATGGCGGTGAGATGGCTGCTTTTTCTTCCTCAGGCATCCTTACTATCTGTCAATGCAGTCTCTGTCTTTCACCCTACCTCCCTCCCTTCCTCTCTCCTCCCTGACTCCCTCACAGGCATACTTGTGCAGTGTTCCCCTCGTTCTACTTCCTCCTCCCTTGCCTGTCTATCCCAGTTCTGTCTGTATGTACCCTCACTCTCTCATCCAAGCCCCCTCCCTTGCTCTAAACTAAAGCCACCTGCTGCTTGTGTTCACGGTAAAGATTAGGGATGAAAAATGATGACAGAAGCAGACTTCCACTTGAGTGGCTACACCAATATTGTGAATTAGTTTTGTCACTGTCGCTTTCTTGTTGAATGGAATCATGCAGTCTGGCAGGCATCTGCTCGCACGCAACAGGTAGCCCTCTCTTCTAAACCAAACATACATCACATCATCATGAGATTTTACGTTTTCATTGGTACTTCAGCGCTTGCCTATGTTAAACAGCTGGATATGCACTGCGACAAACTGTAATTCTGTCCTGACTTAATGGAAAGACTCCCTGGTATTGGCTCTTGTTATTGAACCCATTTTCCTGCAGTGTCTTTGACTCTTCTGTTCATGTTTGCTTTTTGTCATTTTCTGCAAAATTCCCAGAGGCGCAGAGTGAGAGAGAGATCGAAGTCTGCAGGCAGGCAGCAGTTTGATGGCACATTAAAAATAAGCTATTTTTAGATACCTGTAACCCTTCACGTTTCATGGTCAGCTCATTGAATTGTGTATTTTCTGTATTTTTTCTTTCCGATATCTGTTATTCCCCCAAAGCTTACACACATTATGCATTAAGCGGTATAATATTCAAATAGGTTCTTCAATGGATTCTCTCTGCCCAATAGACAGCACTAATCTGAAGCCATCATGTAATCCCTGTCCAGGTAACATGCAGGCTTCTAAACGCCTGACACCATCAGAGGCGAGATGAGGCAACTAGATGTTGGTTTACAATGTGGAGCGTCCACTACAACCACTCCCTTGCTGCCATGAGCGGAAACGACATGATGGCGCACTACCTGACTCTGGAGCAGAAGACAGCGTTTGCCTTCGTGGGGATGCTGCTGGTGTTCCTGGGGCTGCTCATAGTAAGGTGCTTCAGGATCCTGCTGGACCCTTACAGCAGTATGCCCTCTTCCAACTGGGCTGATGGCATTGAGGGGCTGGAGAAAGGGACATTTGAGTACGCTCTCACTTAACACAGGGAAACACACATCCATAGATGTATTAAAACAATTAAAATGCCTAGAAACACAGACATGTACACATATGGACGCCAATACACTTGTACATATTCAAACACAAGCCACAGCCCTGCACAACCACTGCACCTGACACACCTCTCTCTGTGATGGACCAAACTAAGAGACTGAAGCTGTGTATTTTTTGTATGTGTGTGCACTTTTGGTTCAGGGCCAGTGTGGATCCTCTCTACTGTATGTGATTACACGTCTGGTGTGCGTGTCTGAGCGAGTGTGATGCAGATGCTGTGTCATTTTCATCGCCCTTCTGCCAGGGGTCTGCATTTCAGCTCATCGATTTACACAGAAACGGCTGAAGCTCCCTTTAACCCATACTTACAAGTTGAATGTCTGTAGAGGAAAGGAGGTGGATGCTTTAGAACAGTGTGGGGAATTAGGGTGCAGTGGGATTATTCAGATGTATTTTGAAGACTCAGGGACAAGAATCCTTATGTGAACTCAGTGGGAAACAGAGCGGTTGCACCTCTGCATGCACAGCTGTTCTGCACAGGAATGTGAATGGTTGGATGCAGGGTATTGTGTCAAGCTTGTGTTTTGTGGACTAATTAAATCCAATCTGTTGGTGATCCAAAGGAATGCTGCTGCTGCTGCTGCTGCTGCTACTTAGTGTGTGTGTATGGGATGGTCCGTTCCGCGGACACATGCAATGAAATGCAACTGAACAAACTGTGATTTACATTATGGTGTTACTGTTTCTAAATGATGCAAAACCAACTCTCAGAGTTTGGACTGCTGTTGTATTTGAGTGATGGTATACCATATGTTGCCACGATTACATGTCTGAGTGAAATAAACTGTTTACCTTTGACAGTAAGTCTGTATTATGTTGATTAATGGACTCTCAATTATTCAGATTGTTAAGCGAATTGTTGGCTGATGTGATCAAGCCAAAGAACTGTTAAAGGGGAAAGAGGATTGTGAACTTAATGGACTCTCTAGCTCTTCGCTGCTAGTTTTATAATGACAAGGATAAACTCTCACTACGTGTCTGCAGAAGAAAATGTCACATGGAAAAATGGGCTGGGAATGTCTGTCAGCCCTGGACGTGAACACCCTTTTCCCAGCCATCTTCACCCTTTCTCACCTGCGCTCTTGCTGCCAGACAGAGGAAGACAGGACAGTCCTAAACAGAGATCCTGTAATACGGCAGACTTGTCAAAGTCTAGAATGTTGCTTTGCTAATTTCTACGGTATACGGTTTCTCCTTAGTGCTGTGAATCTGCCTTACTGTGACCTTCAATGGGTTTATGTGCCTTCATCTAAAAACATAAGAGCAACTGTGTGTGTATATGTGTGTGTGTCCGAGCGTGTGTATGGCATATCATGACGACAGATAGTTCATCTCCTGACCTGGTGCTTGCACAGATGGTGGTAGATAATTCTCCATGATATAGATTTGATTAAATGATGTAAAATAAATAGAATTTCTTCACTTTGAAATGTTTTTTGTCAAATGTTTGCTTTTTCAAATCTGTGGATCACGTTTAACAAGGAAGTAATGTTTGTATCATACATTAAAATGTAGGTCAGAGGCAGAGTAGAGGCTCACAATTCCTCTTGATGGAAATGTGAAACTTTTTTTATCTTCTCTGCTTTTAAACTCTGGCATTTGTTGTCCATCATCGATGTGGCCAGTTCACACCCAGAAGCCAGGCCATCATGCACTCCTTTCTCGGCACGTCATTTGTCAGGAATGCAATCGTTATTGCACCATTGTCTTTGTCACCCATATGACATACTTATCTGAAATCTATTTCAGTGGAAAAAAACGCTGCCATTTTCCTTCTGTGCCTGGAATCTCACTAATCTTAGACGAAGAACAAACCAACTTGTAAAAAGGGGTTATAAATCTATCAAACATTAACAGATGTGTCTGCTTTGCTTTGTATTTTTCTCAGTATTTATGTTTGCAGAACTTGATTTATGTAAAGATATAGAACCTCACCCCATCATAATTGTGAGTCACATTTTAAAAAGGGCCTACAGTAATATTATGCTTATTTAGAGTAATATTCCTCTGCCAGCCTCGAATATATATCAGGAACAATATAAATGATAACAAATATGTATCTTTTGTTAACTTCCTTCGTATAGAGACACAGAATTATTAGGATATAAATGCAAAGCAGAATCTTTCTTACATAACCAATGAGTCAACTGAATAGTGAACCTTAGCTTTGCTGGTTATCAATTATCGGCTTTATTGCCTGTGGTCTTCGGACCTCACAAGCTATGTCCTTGATTTGCTGTGATAAGATGAGGAGACATAATGGCCTTTCTATTACCCAAGTTATCCAAACAGCTCTGTAATTTACTATTAATGCAACTTTTAGTACCGTAATATACCAAAAATAGCTTGAGGTGATCACGTCAATGAAATGGTGAATATTTTAGCCAATATGTTTTTTAATTACTGTTAGTATTAATAATAAGGCTATATTGTTGTACTTCAGTTTAATATAACTATACAAATAACACACTACTCCTGATCAAATAGATTCTGCCCCTCCTGCAGATGTAGAGAAAGCGGAAAGGAACTGTCCCTCGTCAAATACCGTTTCCTGGTGTTAAGATGGACACAGGCTTGAAATCTTAATTCAAAGCCCTCAGGTCAAATCTGAAGCCAGAGCTAGGCTGGGTTGGATTTTAGACCCTGTTGAACACCTTTTAAAACCCATATGGGTGGATAAATCAATGATTAACCTAGATGTCCCTTACTGCTTCATATCAGTTATTAATGAGACTAGTAACTATTATGCTTAATAATTTACCTTTAATTGATTTGAAATGACCCAAAATATATTCTAGTTTCTTTAATAACACACTTTTTTGCAGATTTCTTTAAAAAATGATTCTAAAAAATGTCTTAGATTTTTCAATAAAAACATATATGTAAATATTATGGATAATTATCAAATTGAACAATTCAAAAAAGAGTAAAGGTGCCTTTTACACAGCAGGCCACAGTCAGGGGTATCATTTAGTGCTGAGTCCAGGCTGTGGGACAGTTAATCTTATATTTGATCACTTGACTTGCCAGCCTTTAACCCTACATCTAGAGTTATTGAATGGCCTTTACCTTTATCATTTAAAACTGAATGAGATCTATTTATCTGTCACTATAAAGATTTTAGTTTAACAATTGTGATATGTTTAATAGGTTTTTCTATAACGAAGCACATAATAATAAGTGACTGGAAATATTTCATTGTATTTGTGATTGACAGATAGGTGTATGCTGACCGGAGTATGCCTGAGATGTGCATCAACTATTTAGCTCTCTGGGATGTAGTATTCGGTATCCAGTCTGCTGGTACCTGCAGTCTTTTGCTTTTAATCACTTTTTCATGTTGCAGTGAACAGCAGGGTTGAGGAATTCTGTATTGGGATTTTATCTGCATATTTTGAGCCCTTTGGACGTTGTGCAAATTAACTTGTTCTGTAGAAATTGGAACATAATATGCAGCTGCTGCCAAAGATTCAACATGTAGGCTTAACAGATCTCAGAGGAGCACTGCACTCTGAATTTATTCAAGCACAGCATACAAAAGTCTACCATCCCTCCAACATAAAAAAAGGAATCACCTTATTCTCAAATTCAGACTGTGGGAGTATCAGCATGGCCTGAGGATCTCTATCTGCAGTAAGACAACTGCAGTGTAGCACGAAAAAAGACTCAAGAACTCAAAATAACTCCATATCAATCTGTGCTCCTAATTGTGGATTCACTTAAGCACTGTAATAATGTACACTTTGACATACTTGACTTATTATTTTACTGCTAAGCATTTGTATTTTCTACTTTATTATTTGACTCCACAATAATTATCTTTTAGTTACTAGTAACTTTGCAGATTCGGATCAATAACACTTAATCTAATCGACATACAAATTATTATGTAATAGCCTGTTAATTTACAATCTAAGAACTTATTCAACCCCTTCGACCATGCATCAGAAATCTCAGGTTCAATGTCACCATAATGACCTGCTGCAGTCTGATTAAGACAGAGAAGTAAAAGAAAAGCAGAGGGTTAAAAAACCCAGCTGTATATTACATTCCATGTGGAAAATGTTATTTGTGAGCATGACTCAGTAAGCATCGTTCTTGTAGAAAATCGCAACAAAGTTGAACTAATGTGTTCTGAATCTGATAAGCATTGTGAAATGTATTACCTCCTTTCAATTTGCACATAAAAACAAGTGCTGGAGTATTTTTCTCAGCCTGTAATACATCCAAGGTCAGATTTCAATTCATAACTCTGCCTTTCAATGTGTGCATAAATCACTGTGGTGTATCAGTAATAAGGAAGTTTATCTGTTAAGAGAACATTTAAAGGCACTTTAGAAGTCATGTGGCAATGAAAAGGTGCCTCCGGCATATTCCTGCAATTCATGGTCTAATATTAACTCCCATTTTCCTCATGGATACAGCCATTTCTTCTGTGTTAGCCGACCCAACAACTTTACCTGTGAACACGTTGTGGCAAAGAGAATGATTAGAGGAAATGTTTATTCAATCAGTTACATAACTGTTATGGGCACAATATCTAAGATTAATTTCCCTCTTGTTATCACACACATGTATTGGTTATATCCTATTGCTTATGTGCTCAGCCAATGTATTGGGTGCAGCTCAGAAGAACTGATTCACTCTAATACAACAATCCCTTTAACCAATGCTCCCTCCATGAAAGTTGTAATGTTGTTATTGAGAACGTTTAGAGAGGGGTTGATTTACCTTAATGCACATTTTGGAGGTTGTTGTTTCTTGTATTGCTATTGAACTATATTGGGTTTTATGGAAAACATAATAATATTCATAGAATTAGTTTTAGCTTTGTCCAAAACAAACTGGCATATATGTTATTAATACCAAATTCCCTATCATCCCATATTAGCTTTAACCTTTTCTTCCCCAGTAACACACCCTTTGAAGAATCTGTAACCTTGAAACTTTTCCTAAATAGTTTTATATTCCTCTAGTGGGAACTTCAATGTGGATATGTCCTGATGATTCATCTAAAGGGCCAACGGGTCTGAGGAAATACTATCCATAGCCCCATATATATTGCAACAACAGGACTACATGTGCTGTTGCCTGCAATCCGACAATAATATTAGTAATCAATTCTCCAGAACTCAGTCAATGAGCGCCTTTATCTCTCGTTTGGTGTTTATGACTTGGTTAATCGTTAAGCAATGCCTTTGTGTCCCTTGGGATGGAGCAAGGACATTTTTGACACCCCTTGTTGAGTTTTCTGAGGGTTGATCCAGAGAGTCAGCCAATAGCTGGCAGCCAGTGTTTGACCCTGGGATGCAGGGTATAAAGGTAGGCCATCTGAGACAAACCCAGTTTATGCACCAGAACTTGGGAGCAGCAGAAGATATTTCTATAACCCTACCAGTATATTTCATTTAACAATTTCAACCACACCAGTTGATGCAGTGCTCTGCTTTTTGAAAAACTGTTGGATGACTGAAGACTTTAAGACTCACACTTCTGTTTTAAATCTGAGAACCTCCTTCAGTATTCCTGATGGAGAGGCTCAACAGGGGAGAGCACGTTAACTCCGCTTATGATTCTAATCTGGATGAACCTCCTGTGTATGAGGAGCACCGGACGGTGCGGCCCTCGGTGGTCAGTGCCTTTGGTCACGACACTTTGGACCGGCTGCCCAACATTGACTTCTACCGCAATGCAGGCAGTGTGAGCGGCCACCGGGCCGTGAGACCATCTCTGCAGGAGCTCCACGATGTCTTTCAGAAGGTGAGTGCTTGTATTTCTGTGAGGTTGGTAAATGTGAATGATTCAGGTCCTCTTCGTATGTTATTTTGTTATTTTTTCCTGAAATACAAGGTTTGCACTCAGCCTGACCTTCTGCAGAAAAGATTTTACAGCAGTTTTTCTCCCTGAGTCCTAATTTCAATTCACTGACTATGTTACTGCAGCCTTTGTTCTGCGTCTCACCTACTCAGGTCAAAAACTCCAGAGTAAATCCGATCTTTTACAGTTGATTGTTCATTTAAACGTCATCACTTTCAGTGTTGACTGTTCAATCATTAAATTATGACTGAAAGACTTGTACAACTACAAAGGACACCGAAAGTTACATTCTGGAGATCAACAGCAACTGACACACTTAAAGAGCTTTTAGTGCTTTTTTATTAGGCCATTATACTGCCTTGTGTTGCAAAATAGTTGGGGTTATAGGTCATTTGGGTTTTAAAAGTTGAACTACATTAGCATTTCTAAACGGTGAAAAAACAGACAGATGATTGAGCATACTTTCTCTGCACATAATGAAACTATGTTTCATTCCAGTTTAAAACTGTGCAAGGCAAAAATGCCATACATCACCCATCATCATTATCTTGACAACATGTTTTATTCATCTGAGAAGAATAAACAAAGGTGATTCATAG